ATATTTCTCTTCTTTGAAGGACATGGAAAGATAGCCAATATATCATAATAAAGCAACTACTCCACTATATATGATGGGAAAAAGAGATTACATACATGACATAGAAAAAAATGATTCCATAAGAAAAAAATCATATACTACTATAAGATGATCATATTTTAGAATAAGAAAATACATAAGTCGCGACCTAAACTTATACGAGAATAGTTCTTTGACGTTTTTCTGGTCTTGATCATTTCAAAAAGTTATTGACATGTTGACATTCATCTAACCATTCGGAATATATGTCGATAGGCTCGGTCAAAGGTGTCGCGCTGGTACAAATTCTTTCTTTGCAATTGTAGCAAGTGACCTCTCCAATCAAATTCTTCATATCAATGCGACATTCAACACTACTTTCATGGCAGCAGAATGGACAAGTGAAAATTGTATCAAGTTTTTCCATTGTCTTCTTTGGTATGGCTTTGTTCTTGACTTCCTCTTTCCCATTTTTATCCAACAAAAACTTTGGGATTTTGATTTCTAATGAAAGAGCCTCTCCTCTTTATAATTTTTTTTTGATTTCCCAAATAGATTGGGTTGATATTTGCTGGTTTTGGACAAAATTTTTGTCAACACACATTTTTTATTTTGTACTTTTGAGTACTTTAATTAAGAATATTACAGTCTATGACTCTACGCACCAATTAGTATTCAAACTGAATAAACCGAAGTTACCGAACCGATTAAACCAAAACTGAAAGGAGAAAAACCAAACCATATTGAATTTAATTAGGTACGGTATTAGTATAACACTTTAAGAAATCGAATACCAAAAATACTGAACCAAAATATCTAAATACCGTACCGTACCGACCGATGAACACCTCTAACTGTAGGAGTTACGTTTGGTCAGGTGCAAATATGATTACAAAAAAAAAGCATTAATTAGTGGCCTGGGACAAAGTTTTTTGTACCTAAATCTGCAGGAGGATTGAACCTAATCAACCTGCATCTCTGGAACAAAGCGGCTATTGCTAAATCATGTTGGGACCTAGCCCACAAGCAGGATAAGTTGTGGATTAGGTGGGTGCATACCTATTATATAAAGGGGCAGTGAATGGAACAAATTAAGCTACCACAACAGGCATGCCGGATCATCAATCCTTGAACAGGTGCAGGACAACCTTACACCTGGAAAAAGCATTATAAGGCAGATATACCTACAGTTAATAGGTGACTGTCCTAGAGTAATTTGGAAGCCCTTAATTTTTCATGTTGGTGAAATTACAAGAAATTAAAGTTGAAAAATAAGACGAAGAAAAATAAATAAATATTCTTCAGGTTGAGTGCGGATATCTCGCTCTCTTTAAGGAGATTCAAGCCCACTGTAGCAAAGTCTTCACTGGTCCAATAGTAATCCTCTTGACTTGTCTCCCCAGGAAACAACAGCCGGATCACGTCGTATGATTCGAATAAACTCTGGACAAGTAGTTGAGTCCAAAGCTACACCAAGATGAACACATTCCTTCAATAAAAGTAAAAACTCTCTTCTTCTTTTTTCACAACTTTAGCCTCACTTTATTGGAACACTCTCAATTATTTTTTCATCACACAATAGGGAAGAATGACTCCTATTTATAGGTGTAAGAATTCTTCCTTGAATTAGATTGGAAGAAAGTGGGGTAATAAGTTATGAAATCATAGAGAACATGGGATAATTAGTGTGTAATTAGTGATAGAACATGGGAGAAGAGTTACAAAAGAGGGAACATCATCTAAAGTGGGCTGTCATGAACTCTAAAGGGAGCTCGCCTAAAGAACTCACATACCCAGAAGATGAGAGTAGCAGAAATGAGGATGTTGAGGTGGATGTGCAGGCACACTAGGATGAATAAGATTAGGGATGAAGATATTCGGGAGAAGGTGGGCGTGGCTCCTATTAATGACAAGATGCGGGAAACGAGGCTCAGATGGTTCGGGCACGTTCAAAGGAGGAGCTTGGATGCCCCGGTAAAGAGGTACGAGCGATTGGCATTGGTGGGTACAAGGAGAGGCAGAGGGCGACCTAAGAAGTATTGGGGAGAGGTGATCAGGTGGGAAATGGCGAGGCTTTAGATCTCCGAGGACATGACACTCGATAGGAAGCTGTGGAGATCGAGCATTAAGGTTGTAGGTTAGGAGGTAGTTGAGTTCATTTAGTCTACCAGTGTGAGGCTAGGCCGATAGGATTTAGTCTTAGACTGCTAGTGGTGAGTGTTGTGTTTTCACTACTCTTCATTATCATAGTTTAGGGCCTTATTTACTAGTTATTATTTATGCTTTCCATTTATTCGCTGGTTCTTGTGATGTCGTTATTATTTCCATGAGTTTTTATTGATGGTACTGATATATTGTCTCTTTTTTCGTCTATTCGTCTTCTTGAACCGAGGGTCTATCGGAAACAGCCTCTTTACCTCATCAGAGTAGAGGTAAAGTCTGCGTACACATTACCTTCCCCATACCCCACTTGTAAGACTAATAGACTATACTGGGTTGTTGTCGTTGTTGGTATATGTTGAATGTGTTTACTCCGTCTGAGCAGAAAGGAACATGAAGATATTCGAACAGAGAAGCAGAGGATATGAAGTCATTGCAAGAGAAATTGCCTACACATGTAATGTGCGTGCTGCTCCAAGATATAGAAGTGTACTGCAATGCTTGTTATTTTAGTTGGATAGGTGTGTAGGAATTATCTATTCTGGTTTGGCATTTGTGTTTGTTTTGTTTGATAGCTAGCTTAGTTGGCTTAGCTATGGTTTTGTAATTAACTCTTTGGTGATTAATAAAATACAGTTTATTACCAAAAAAAAAGTGCTTTTATCCCTTGTTTATTTACAGGTTAATCCTGATGCCTTAATTTGTTTATTATAATTTTACTAGGAACAAAACTTGTACTATATCAATGACATAGTACCACATTTTTTTGTATTCAGTGGGGCCTATAACAACTTATATCTGTGACAAAATTATATTGTAGAAATATATAGTTTCTAAATTTATAAAAAAAATCAATCTTATGGACACCTTTGACCGAGTGAAAAAAAGAATTGCGATAAACGAGTGAAAAAGAATGCAAAGTGAAGTGACAATCATATTAGGCAATAAATGGGGTAAATATTAGTTTCTCTAAATTCCCCTTGCAACTTTAAGCTATTTACATTTTGTCCCCTTCTATCCCATGCAACTTATTTTCTTTTTATCAAACCCCTTCTATGTTATTTTTTAAAACTTTGATATTTAAATTTTTATTCTTTTCACCATAAGAATTTGGCTTATATTTCAATATTGTAGAATTTGGTTCGTGTGATTTTCTACTCCTTTTTTTTTTTTTAATTTGGAGCAAGAAGAAATTGTTAGGACAAAGACCATCTCCAGAATGCAAGGTTGAACTTGAACGAAATTAGACATATGAAATATTTGGCCAATATATCATTATAAAGCAACTACTAAACATACATGGCAAACAAAAAGCGATTTTATAAGAACAAAATCTAATATAAGATCGATGTCCGCATTTAAAAATAAAAATAATACATAAGTTGCCACCTAAACTTATACAAAAATAGTTCTTTGACGTTTTTTCTGGTCTTGATCATCTCGAAGGTTATTGACATGTTCACACTCATCTAACCATTCGGAATATATGTCGATAGGCTCGGTCAAAGGTGTCGTGTTGGTACAAAATCTTTCTCGGCAATTGTAGCAGATTGCCTCTCCAATCAAATTCTTCATATCAATGCGACATTCAACACTACTTTCATGGCAGCAGAATGGACAAGTGAAAACTGTATCAAGTTTTGGCATTGTCTTCTTTGGTACTGGCTTTGTTCTTGACTTCCTCTTTCCCATTTTTTTCAACAAAAACTTTAGTATTTTGATTTCTAAAGAAAGAGCCTCTCCTCTATTTATAATAGTTTTTTTTTTTATTTCCTAAATAGATTAGGATTCGGATATATGGAAATTCCTTTTCTCTTTTTATTAGGTTTGTTTTCCTAATTAGTTTGGGTTTAGGAATCGATTCATTTATGGAAATATATAGTTTAAAGGACTAAAACACGTTTTCCTAAATTGAGACAAATTAGGAAACTCCTTATGCTTTTAAGTTCTCTTTTCCAAGTTTCTTTTACTCAATTAAGTCAAATTAGGCACAAAACTTGGAGGAAAAGAAATAAAAAAAAAAGAAAAATTTATTGACATATATAGTTAATACACGAGTAAGATATCAAAAGTATAATTATACCAAATAATTTTTTTTTTCATCAGGGGAGCCTATAATAACAACTTATATCAATGACAAATTCTATTGTAAACATTATATAGTTTTCAAATATTTTAAATAAATTAAAAAAAAACAATATTTTGCAAACAAAAGGGGGAACAATGCCAAATAAACTTTTGTGATAAACGAGTGAAAATAATGCAAATTGAAGGAATAATCATATTTCCGATAAATGGGGTGAAAATTAATCTTCCCTTCCAACTTTGGCTTAAAAATCAAATTCTCTTTCCACTTTAAAGTTTAAACTATTGACATTTTTCCCCCCTATACCCAAATAATGCTTATTTTACCCTTTTTAATTATCAAACCCCCTCAATGTATTTCTTGATACTTTGATATGTTTATCCTTTATTGTTTCCACCATATTTGAAAGTTCTCTATATTTTCTACCTATACATTTCTGCATAGGAAGCTCGCCTATTCTATACAACAACAACAACAAAAACCTCAGTATAATCCCACAAGAGGAGTCTTGGGAGGGTAGTGTGTACGCAAACCTATGTTGCGCAGACTCTTCAAAATGTCGCCGCACCCGTATCGAATCCTCAAAAATTGCACTACTTTTGGAGGATCCGACACACACCCAGCAATATTTTCGAAGAGTCCGAGCAAGATAGATGCAAACTTACCCCTACATTGAGAAGGTCGAGGGGCTGTTTCTGATAAACCCTCGGCTCAGACGCAACCACCTCTATTAAGATTACGATTTCAAATTGTGTGACTTCCATTTTCTTTGGATTAACAAATTGTCATGTCATTACAAAATAAACCTAGCTTCAAAATGGCTCTAAAATACAATAAAAACAAGGGAAGAAATAACAAAATGTACCATTTACTTCTTCTTGCCAGCTTTACCCTCTTTCCTTCTAACTATTTCATCAGCATATTTCACTCCTTTACCTTTGTAGGGCTCTGGAGGCCTCCATTTTCTGATTGAAGCTGCAAATTGACCGATTTCTGACTTATCGTAACCACTTACTGTGATTCTGGTGTTTTCTTCAACCTTAACCTGCAGTCCATCAGGTATTTCCATCTTAACTGGATGAGAAAATCCAAGATTAAGAACTATTTCTTTCCCTTCGACCGTTGCACGATATCCTACCCCTACTAATTGAAGTTTCTTCTCGAATCCTTTGGAGACGCCGACAACCATGTTATCAGTAAGAGTCCTGGCGAGTTCAGTGCAGAAAAAAGAACATGTTCAGAGTAAACACAATAAAGATGCATTTACACCACCACCACCACCAACAACAACAACCCAGTAAAATCTCACTCAGTGGGGTCTGGGAGGGTAAAGTGTATGCAGACCTTACCCCTACCCCGGAGGGGTAAAGTGTACGCAGACCTTACCCCATCACTGCATTTATATTGTCACTAGAATTGACCATCAGCAAGTCATATGAAATGAAGATTTCAAGTGACAAGCTAAAAGCACACAATCATATTCACTGTACTGCTGATATGCATATAAATCCTTCTAGTGATTGATTTGAATTATTCTACTATATTCCTTATAAAGTTTTGGTCCTCCAATTAGTGCTCAACGGGTTTCAAACCAACCACTCATACAAATTCCATTTGATAAGAATTATCGGGTCTTTCCAGTATGACTATATTTCCTCTTTCCTAGCAACAAATAGATATACCAAGAGCACTGTCATAGGCAGATCATGCAAACAATCGCACTGCAGCCATTGACCACAAATACTATGAATTTCAACATGACTGAAGCCTTTTAACCTAAGAAAACTACCACAAGCACGGATACCTGTCCTCTGCTAACAAGTCCTAGCAGTTTCTGTTTGTATTCCCTCTTCTGCCCAATATTCACCTCTCACGACCTTAGAATCATTACTGCTTCCAGGGCACTAAACATGTTTAGATGAGAAATATGTGGAGTAGTAGCTTTTTCGCTACTTACTTTGAAGGATCTCTATTATTTTTGGGTCTCCTCAAAGCAAAAGAAGGAGCATTTGGTCATATCAATTTAAGAAGTAAGATACAATAAATAAATCAATAGCTTTAACAAATCAATAACGTTTAAACTACAAGGATTGCTAAGATCATAACTTAGCACGTTTACCATAAGAATGAAACCGAAGAAAATATCAAGAAAACAGAGTGATTAAAACTGCAAGAATACCTGAATAAACCATGCATTTGATTTGCCCTTCTTGTCTCCACAGCTTTTCTGACCCTTAGAACACCTTCCTCTTCTCTTTCAAGCTTTACTTCTCGTGGATAAGTTATGGCCATCTCTCCTAGAGGTCCCTTAACTTTCAAATCTTGGCCTTCCATTGTGAGTGTCACATTGGAAGGTACTGTTATCGGTTGCTTACCAATTCTTGATTCTTTACATTCGACCACCTTCCTCACAAAACCAACACGACGAACAGCAACACTCGATACATGAAACCCATTCAAACTCCCGACGAAAGGAGACCTTAAATTGCTGACATAAAATAAAAGAAGATTAAATACATGTGTTTTTACAAGAAGCCTACATAAATAAGATCCACACTCGACACATGAAGCCCATTCAAACCCGGCAATAAACAGAAAAACAGGAACAATGTTTATGTATTTACAAGAAAACTTGCTAATCCCCGAGACCTCTCCACTGTCTAAGGGGGGTGGGTGGCACAGCATATCTAAGCTCCAGGAGCTTAAGCCAATAAAACCATAACGTGGTTTACAACCAATTGAAAAGCGGGATGACAGTAGCATCCATGATAAATATGAAAACAACAAATTTCAAATATTACAATTAACCACTTTTTTATAAGTAAATATTGGAATAAACAACCTTAAAGTTCATAGCATAGGCTCATAATAAACCTGACCACCTCAGTTTGTGACTAATGCTCCTCCTTAAATTAAATTAACTAAATGTCAAAAAGATATTTTTTCCCAGCAGATAATTATCCATTAGGTAATTTTACAGCCAGAGAAAGAGATGTACTCCCCTCCAGAATTGTGAAAAAAATAAAATAAAATAAAAGCCAACCCGCAGAGAAGGGATGGCATATCATTTCTAAGCTGCAATAACTTAGAAATAAATTGACCAAGAAATAAGAAATGCAGACTGCCCAATTCCAACTATTCAAGAAACTGAATGAAATTGTAAAAATAACAAAACTTTTCAGTTTCAACAACTAAATCAAGAATCCAACTTGTAATAAACACTTGGGACTAGCTTAATTTTCTGTAAAAGGCGCTGCAAAACTTAACAGAATAAACCCATTAGGAAATTTTACAACAAAATCTGAGAAGGGAAGCAGAAAAACTAAGTTTTTTTAATTCCTCAACATACAAAAGCTACAATCTTTGTTAGTAGATATAAGGAAAACCCAGAAGCGAAAAGATACAAAATTGCATAAACTAGACACAAATTGACCAAAAAACTAGAAATGTGAAATACCCAATTTCAGTTATTCGAGAATCAAAATGAAAATGCATAAAAGAACAAACTTTCTAGTGCCAACAACTGAATTAAGTAGCTAAAGTTATCTGGTATGTAAAGAAGCTGTGACTGAGGAGCTAAATTAGGTTCTTACTTTTTCCCAACACACAAAAGCTAAAAAAAATTATTCATTAAAAACAAGAAGCTAAAAGACAGAAAATTGCTTAAATTAACACAAATTGGAACCAGAAACTAGAAATGTGCTATACCCAATTTCAACAATTCAAAAATCAATTAAAAATGTTAAAAAGAAGTGTCAAAAATTGAATCAAGAAGTGTCAAAAATGCAAAGTGGCACTGAGTGACAAGGGGGCAGAATAATTAAGGTTTTTTTTGCCTCAACACACAAAAGCTACAATTTTTTATTTATTTATAAGGAAAAAACAGAAGCTAAAACACAGAAAATTGCTTAAATTAACACAAATTGGAACAAGAAACCATAAATGTGCAACAACCAATTTCAAAAATTCAAGAATTACATGAAAATGTAAAAGCAACAAGCTAAATTTACCTGGTATATAAAGAGGCAGTGAGTGAGAAGGGGAGCTGAATAATAAACTTTTTTTTTTCTCAACACATAAAAGCTACAATCTTTCTTACTAAATAAGGAAACCCCAGAAGCCAAAAAGACATAAAATTGCATAAATTGACATAAAATGACCCAGATACTATAAATGTTCAATACCCAATTTCAATAATTCAAGAATCAACATGAAAATGTGAAAAATAAACAATTTTTATAGTGTCAACAACTGAATCAAGTAGAACAAGTTTACCTGGTATGTAAAGAAGCTGTGAGTGAGGAGCTACTCATTTTTGAAGTTGCCTGCAGGCTACAGCTGCTATAGCTCTAAAGATTGAGCCTCATTTATCTGGTTTAGTGGTTATAGCCCTTTTGCTGCAAATAACGGATATTGGCAATTTCACCCCTTATCCTATTTCAGCTAAATGACAAATATTCCCCCCTCTTTGTTTTAATTTTCACTTTTGCCCTATTGATCTCCAAATGTTTTTTCTTTGGGTAATTATGATATGGAAGTATTAATTAGACTTACCTATTATGTTAATGAGAGAAAAAATTGACGGGTACATTACTTTATGAATTTGAATGGTTGAAAGTTGTATTTTTCGCGTGCACGGATTATAGAAGGACCTGGTTCTTCTATGTGTTCCTTATACTACTGTTGCGGAATAATAAATGCAAAAAGTAAAGAACACAAGTATTTTTACGTGAAAAATACTCTGCTAAAAAAGTGAAAAAACCACGACCTACTATCCAGTAGGGTATTTTCCAACACTTCACTAAATCACTAAGCCAAAACATCATTTACAAAACTCTTTGTAAATCTAAGGATTACCTCTAACCCTTTGTGGCAACCAGCCTCTAGTTGTTGTGGCAACTTCAAGTTAACTCTAACTTGATTACAACACTCAGAGTACCTAGTACAAAATACTTTTAGATAAAGCTGAAAGGTACAACTCGAAAGCCCTACTACAATTGAACTAGAATAAAAGACAGACACATGGAGTTGGTTCTTCTATCTGGTTCATGTAGCTTCAGGTTCGCACACTTCTATCACGCAGGAATTGCTTGCAAAATGCCTTGTCATTTTTCTCTCTACTCTCGTTTAACTTTAGCGTTTGTGCGTCCCTGAAAAATGAGAACATCCTGAAATATATAGAGTTAGTAGAATAGGAAATGACTAGAGTTCTAATGCTATACTCTTCCTTGGTGGAAGAGTTCTAGTTATCTTCAACTTCTAACTCCTCCCTTATCTAGGATAGAGTTCTCTTCGAGTAAGGAGTCCTTCTCCTTATCACTTATGCAATATTTTTGTTCAGGAGATATCAGATATAACCACTTAAGCTTATCTCCTTCATGTGCATCCCTTGTGCTCGAATCTGCCCGTGTCTATGTACACTGTGTATGGACCTGGTTCATGCTTGAGTTCCTTTGTCAATCATCAAAACAAACTTCTCTTAGGCCAACAAATTCCCCCTTTTTATGATGACAAACTGTGTGCTTTCCATAAGCATAAGACCTGTTTCAACTCAGTTCAACATCAACACAGTTTTAGAATACTTTCCATTTTAAAATGTCAAAACATCAAGGACCAGGTTCATTAGGTTATAAACATCACAATCCAAAGTAAAAAGCTTGCATAATTATTTTAGATAACTAGATTTTAATAGATATCACTCATGACCAATGGGCTACGTCAAATGCAATCATGGAGTTAAGAATCATTTATCAATCTAATGATATTAGCTATCGAAGAAGCATCAACAAACAGATAGAGCACAAAAACAGTTGATTATCATTGATACTAGTCATCCACAAAGCATAAAGCAAAATAAAGATACTGGATCATGAGCAAAAAGAACCAAAACAAAAAAAATCTCATTCGGGTAACTGGTTTGTCTAACTAGGCTAGGAAGGTTTCAAGTCTGGGAAGGACCAGGTTCTTGGTTTCTGGCCTGAAGTAGCTTTAACATATCATGAATAATGCCTTCATTCTTCTCTTTCTCCTTTGAAAGCTCAGCCCTGAGAGCATCCCTCTCAGATTCTACTTCAGCCAGCTTCTTCTTCAGTCTCTCAATCTCAGCATCCTTAGCCCCACTCTCTTGTACCAAGGCTCTCACTGTACTATTCACAGGCACCTTCTTCGATGAACCAGGTTCTTTGGGAGCAGTGTGGACTTCATAGTCACATGCAGTCAAGGTGTTGGCCCCAAAGTGATCTTTGCTTGTACTAACATACCATTTCTTGAGGGGTACCTTGCAGTGAGCAAGTACAATCGTGAGAATGAAACCATATGGTATGGCATGAGTTTTTGTGCCAGTTAGAACCCTATCAAGAAGTTGGATGATAAACCCAGGCCAATTGATCTACTTCTCACTATCTAGGCATTCCGTAAGGACCAGGTCCATGAAGGTGGCAATATGCCTTCTTTCCTGCCTGGGCAACACGACTCTGTTAACAAATTTAAACAGCACTTTGTGGGAAGGCCTCATCTCACTTTTGTAAACAGCCTTGGGCTGAAGCTCTTCCTCATTATCAACAATCCTTGTAATGGCAAGTGATGTGGGGAGGTTTTCTAGGCTTGGCATTTTAACTTTTTATAATCATTGTACCCTTCAGCAGGTTCTCTAGAATTTCTCCCAATTCCTTGTCGCCAAAGCTCACAGTCACCCCCTTCACAACACCATTGACTCTGCCATTTTTTATCTTACAATTTGCCATGAACCCCACAATCTCAATTCTGTCAAGCTTTTCATCCATCTGAAGGACCATGTCCTTCCAACCCTGCAATTGTAGTTTGTCCAGCGGCATCACCATGCCTTCCTCATCCAAGTCCCTGAGGAGGCTACCCTTCAAGATGGTTCTTTTCCCAAACTTAACCATCTTGTCCCGCTCTTCATCAAATTCCTCTTCTTCTTCACTTTCCTCTTCCTCCACTATTTGCACTTTCCTAGACTTCATGACAGACCTGGTTCTTTTTGCCATGGTAGAAGGCTCTGCAGACTTAGTTTCTGAAGGAGACTTATTTTTGGAAGTCTTTCTTTTCTTTGTCTTTGGAGTCACAACCACTTCCTCTCTGCCTTGTCTTCATCACGAAGAACCATGTCTATCTCCTCAATTTTAATTGCCTCAACAGGCTCATTCACTTTCTTCTTTCCCTTTGCAGCAGCTTTTCTTTCACTCTCTTCAAGGGCTTTTTCCAGTTCAACCTCACTCTGCTTGTTCTGACTCCTTGTAGCTCCTCCTCTTGTAGGAGGAGTCTCTACAAGGATAGAAGAGGCAACCTTTCTCTTCTTGTTTGCCCTAGCAGTTCTAGGAATTTTAACTCCTGAACTTTTCTTCCTTTTTGGATTGTAACTGTTAGACACTCCTTTTAATAGGTATTCGAGGGGTTCCTTCACAGATGGAACAGGTTCTTGGAACCTCTTCCTCAACCTAACCAGCCCCTCAGCTGCACTTGCATCACCAGACCAACTACCCCCCTTCTTCTTTCCAACTTTCTCCCTCTCCAGCATATTCCTCACTCCACAATACCATAGCTCCTGTTTCTTCAGTCAAACCAACAGGAGTGGGTGAATGTTCAACCACTCCTTCTTTTCCCTTTCTACTCACAACACCATGGGCAACCTCTCTCTCTTGTTTCTTTTTTTTTTTGTTTTTACCACCAATTCTTCCAGAGTCAGTGGTTTCAACCCCAGCAATAGTTCCAACCAGAACGAATCTGTTCTCTAGATTCTCAACAATTTCAGAGATTACTTCAAATGAAATTTTAGGACCAGATGTTACCTGCTCTATTTCAGATGAAACATTTTTCCCTCAGTTGAAGACTTAAATGATTCTTTAGATTTCTGGGGTTTTTCTGCTTGGCTCACTTTTATCTGCTCATTAATTTTCTTGATTTGTTCTCCTCCAACGACTACCTTGCGAGCAATCATCTTAAACCTTCATTTCTTAGGGGTGAGTGTGGTTGAAGGTGTGATAGATGGTGTAGGTGTAGTTTCCTAGGGTAGTGATGAGGCATTCTCATAAGGTGTCCCTGTTGCTATGTTTGGATAAGTGTTTAGAGAAGATGGGAGAAGATAGGGAGAGTTGTTTGACGACAAGGAAGTTTAGAAGTGGAAAAATGGGTAAGTCCAAATCAAATTTAAATATGGAGAGTTTAATTGGGTAACGACAGCTTTTCCAGAGACTTAGAAGTCTAATCAAATTGTAGTAAGTTTGAAAAGACGTTGGAGACTCTCTCTTGAATCTAGGAAATTATTGCATTAGGGACTCTCCTTGGGTGTAACTGGTTCTTGTTGTAACGGATAAGCTCGAGGGAGGTTAGGATTAAATGGGAGTCTCCTTTTGATCATGATCCAAATATAATTATTTCAAAATATGCAGAGTGGAGAGTACATACCATGTAATCTTTGACAAACCAGGTTCTTCACTGAGAATTATCTTGTGTAAGTCTGAGTTTTCCAAGAAAATAAAGATAATATCATTAGAGATTAATGAGACACTTTAGCACATGGCACAGGAGAATACTAGTGAAAGTATGAGATTGAGAATTATCTAATCTAATTATGTACAAAATTAACAAATTGTCTAACCAATCTTTGAGTTAGAAATGATTCTTTTTAGGTGATCTTAATCATCCCTAATTCTAACATGTTCCTTTCAAAGTTATCTCTACTTAGAGCTTTTGTGAAGATGTTAGCTATTTGCTTGTCAGTAGCACAAAATTCCACAATGATCAAACCTTTTTCATAGTTGTCCCTCAAAAGGTGATGCATAACATCTATGTGCTTAGTTCTTTTATGATGAACCGGGTTCTTGGTCATACTAATTGCGCTGGTGTTATCACAAAAGATGGGGATACAACCTACTTCAATTCCAAAATCCCTTAATTGATGTTTGATCCATAACAATTGAGCACAACATGAGGCAGCAGCAACATACTCAGCTTCAGCAGTAGATAAGGCCACAGAATTTTGCTTTTTGGTGGCCCAAGACACAAGACATGAGCCAAGAAAGTGTGTCATACCTGAGGTGCTCTTTCTATCCACAAGAAAACCTGCATAATCAGCATCAGCATATCCCACTAAGTTGAAATTACAACCTTTTGGATACCATAGGCAGAGGTCAGTGGTGCCTTTTAGGTATCTCAAGATCCTCTTGACAGCAGTCAAGTGAGACTCTATTGGATTTGCCTGAAATTTAGCACAAAGGCCTACACTGAAAACAATATCAGGTCTACTGGCAGTGAGATATCACAAAGAGCCACTCATGGTTCATCTATATCCAATTTTGTGGTTGTTGCTATAGGTGTGTCAATTTCTTTGGAGCCTTCCATTTTAAACCTTTTAAGCAACTCTTTCAC